GGTGCTCAAGCCATTAGTGCTTGGAACATAACATGTTGACATGTGGTAGACATTGACATTGATATTCCCAAATCACTTGTTTCCTGTGAGCGCACGTTCGTTGGTACGCACAGACACACCCAAGCACGTACACAAATATACGGGTGGCTATATATCATTTATAGATTGTATGAAATATAATAGTTACTACATGTGGGAGATATTTCTGGGAGGTATTACTGCCGCACCCTGCATATTTTGAGCGGAATGTCTGTGGATGGTATCGGAAAGTTCCTGGACTATCCGTACTATGATTTCATAAAACATACAAAGTTTATATATATATATATATATATATATATATATATATATATATATATATATATAGATAGATAGAATAGATACATATAGATATAGATATATACATATAGATATATAGATAGATAAGATGAGAACAAATGAAACATAATTACACTGTCCGTAACATTTAATTTAAAAGAGGGCTCAATACAGAGTAAAGCTAAATAATATTTATTTATTATGCAAATGAAGTATAATAACTAATATACTAAGTATAATAAATAGTTTTATATATATATATATATATATATATATATATATATATATATATATATATATATATGTAACGCTATATATATATATATATATTAGTAATGCATATAACATTATATATATATGCATTTTCCGGTAGGAACTGAACCTGCGTCAGCCTCTGTAGGAGAAATTATCCTTTGATCCCTCGTTCTTTTTCGCTGGGTCCCGAAGAATGTCAGAGGAAGCCGACATTTTGATTACTTCAAGAAATACGGGGTAAATTTTTGCCATTTTATATTTTGACTTGGCGCATGCGCGTTGTTTTTGATTTTGTCGACTGCACAGTATAGTAAAATCAGTGGATGGTTTAACTTACTCCTCACACGAGGCATCTTCAGAGTGGTTATACGAACATTTAAACAAAGATATTCACTATCGAAAATGATATTTTCTTATTTTGACATAGAAGATGTGAGCCGAAAGCTTAGGTCAAGGATCAACTTAATAAAAAAAATTGGAAAATTTTTGTATTTATTTTCATCTGAAATTAAAGCAGATATACGAACCTTAGAACGGCTCATGATCAGACATCATAGACATTCATTGTCTGTGATATTTAATAATATATGTTTAAATAATGATCTGATGTTCTAATACATTAAATCCAACTTACGTGATATCGCAGCATTAAACACTCCCAACATCAAGAAATTTCAATGGAACCTCATTAAACGACAAATAAACAAAGCCAAACAGGAATTATAACGACTCAACACTGAAATTGTATGTATTAAAGGAATCTTCTACCACAACTGAAAAAATTCAAGGAAATATTGGATTTATTATGTAATACAACACAAAAGGAAAATTAATCCCATAAAAAAAGAAAAAAGAAAGAAAAGAAAGCTAAACAAATTATATAATGGAAAAATGCTTTTTACCAAACACCAACGATAACTTCATTAACCTATCGGATTAATAAATCACTACAAATGAAATTGAATTCCTTAATCTTGGACCAAATTTTCGTGTCGCGCAGAAACCTAATTTAATGTTTGAACAAAGGCAAATTGAAGCTTTATACCAACAACTACTTTTATTGGAACAAGACAACCATATTACTACACAGGTAGGTTTAAAAGTCCAATCTATTAAAAACCATCATCATAAAAATTTGAATGGAATTATAAACATTGCTTTAATAAAAGCAGCCACACAACTAAAAATAACAACAATTGTTATTCGATGATCTGATAAGGTAAATACTTTCGTTATTTTAAACAAACATGAGTACCACTCAAAATTACAGGCAATTTTGGTCGATCATAATAAATTTAAAAAGTTAACCAATAACACCACCTCCCAACTTAAAAACCATATCAATAAACTTACTATTGCTAATAATGCTGACACAAGATCCTATAAACTTCAAAAGATTATAGGTGGCTATCAACCTGGCTACCTTTATGGAAATGTAAAAATTCATGAAAAAGATCATCCCCTCCGACCTATCATTTCACAAATACCTACACCAGTACATTACCTTTCAAAAACCCCACGCAAATTAATTACTCCCTATCTCCCAAGTAAATATTGTATTAACTCCACAAATGAATTTATACAAATTCTTCATGCTGTAAAACCAAACAACTAAATAAGGCATCTTTGGATGTCCAAAATATATTTACCAATGTCTCCGTCCATGAAACAATTGACATCATTATCCATGATGTATACAATCTCACTTCTCTCCCACCAATCAATAGTGAAACCACTATTTAAAAAAATATTAGCATGTACCACACAAGTAACTTTTCATGAACCCCAAGGTAATATTTATACTCAAATAGACGGTATTGCGATGGGATCACCTTTAGCCCCACTTTTTTCTAATTGTTATATGGCACATTTAGAAAAGAAAATATTTAATGACACTAATAAACCCCTATATATGTAAGATACATAGATGACATGTTCATTTTAGCTAAAAATATTGATCAAATTACACAACTTAAAAACAAATTTGAAAGTCACACCATCCCCAAATTTATATTAGAACTTACAATTCCATTCCTTGGTATATTTATTTGATTCCAGCACTCATAAATTTACTACTTTTCTATACAGGAAACCAATTAGTATTAACTCGTGTCTTCTTAGTTATAATAGTGAATACCCCAACGATATAATTTAACCTTTATAAAAAACTGAATCCGACGCACACAAATATCTTCTTCCAAAACCATATTCTATAAAGAATTACATAACATTAAACAAACACTTACTAATAATGGATTCCCTAATTTCGTCATTGATGAACAAATTAAAATGTATCTCAATAAACTTCTAAGAAAATTTATAATAATAATAATAGTGTACATCAATATAAACATAATACTATTAACTGTTGTAACCAAATGCATAATAATTACAAACATGATGAAGTAACACTCAAAAACAGAATAGGTAGAAAGGTTAAACCCATTAATAATAATAAACAAGTTAATCTCATCATATATTATAAAAGATTTAAAACAATTGACCTCATAGTTTCTAATAGCCTTACAACCACACAACTAAATCCTCTACAAAAAACAAAACAAAAAACCAATGTACTGTATCAATTTCCATGCCCGTTCAGAGATTGTCTCTCTGATACTACTAATAAACCCACTACATATATTGGTTTTACTACAACCACACTCTCCCGTAAATTTAACTGTCAACTTTCTGATCTTAGTTCTATTAAATAACATTTCTTAGAAAAACATGGCCATATACATAATATTATCCAGATATTAGTTGATAACACAATAATACTCACACATACACACAGTAAAAAGAACCTTCAGATAGTGGAGGCCATTTACATTAAAACGAAACAACCCACACTCAACAAAATTACATTTCAAACTAGGCACAACACATTATATTGCGTCTAGACATATTTGAAAAAAAGTTCTTTTGTCAGTATTTCGGCCTCACGCGTGGTATGACGTCATAGAACCGCGTCTTGAATTTACAAGCTGCGTCTGCTTTTCTGTGACCGTTATCGCCGCATAGCAATCTTCTATGTCAACATAACAAAATATCATCTTCGAATGTGAATATCTTTGTTTAAATGTCCGTATAACCACTCTGAAGAAGGGTCATGTGATCCGAAAGCTTAGATCAAGGAACAACTTAATAAAAAAATATCCAAATGTTTGACAATTTTTGTTTTTATTTTCAACCGAAATTAAAGCAAGCATACGAAAATTAGAACGCATCATGATCAAACATAATAGACATTCATTGTCTGTTATATTTAACAATATATGTTTAAATATATATATATATATATATATATATATGTGTGTGTGTGTGTGTGTGTGTGTGTGTGTGTGTGTGTGTGTGTGTGTAATATACGTTATTCTTATAGATAAATAAAATATATTAAATAATGAAGAGGCAATGCCACAGACTGCACACGTCACGGGAGAAACACATCAGCACTAGTACAAAGGCCAGAGAGAGAGAGAGAGAGAGAGAGAGAGAGAGTACCGGGAAACCCTTCTTAGACAAGAAACAAGGTGTGAGCCTCTGCTCATGTCCAGGAGAAAGGGGAGGAGTGTATACATAATATATATATATATATATATATATATATATATATATATATATATATATATATATATCAAAAAGAGTAAGAGAAAAGCATGACGTGATGTAGGGGAGAGACGTAAGCAAAGTTCAAATTAGTTAAAAGACATAGTTATTTCTTATAGCTATTTTTTCTCACAAACAACTGCACGGTCAATATTTATATCGACTCAAAGTATTATAATAAAAATCAACAATAATTCACCAGGTAATAAAACAATATAATTAATTATATGTGTGTTATTCATTAATTTATACTGAATGACATTTGGTTTATATCGTCATTTGGTTGCAGTGTTTTTTGTGCAACAAATCCCAGTTTTTAATTCTGATTTCCTTTTTGTTTGCAAGTATTTTTTTTTTGTATGTTTTAAAATCAGATTTGGGCACGATCCAATAAAAATATCATAATTTTTTTCTGTATGTTGGAGAAACTTTTGAAAGCATTTAATTAAATTCCAGAGTTTCTCGCACACCTGATTAAGCTTCATTGAATTATTGTCTATTCTAAGAAAAAAAGAGGTGAAGCTGGACATATCCAAGCTGAATAGTCGCTCTTTTGTACCGTGTGCCTTTTCTTAGTCTCTTTCTAATGTAAAGGTCATCAAAAGATAAGGACGTTAAAGAACTAACGCAAATGCACCCCGTTTCTGTCAGCTTTCAAGAGTTATTGAGTATTATTTCAAAGTACTTATCTAATATCAACGGAAGTAGAATTATTCGGTCTGGTTAGAAGTTTGTTTTTATTACTTCATTGAGTATTTGTCAACGGACTTCTGAGCGGACCTAACGCTCACCGCGGTTGGAAAAAAAAGCATACCTACCTTGGAGTTGAGAGGTCGTCTTTTGATATATTCGGCGGTAGACCATATTTAGGGGGACTGGACTTCCTGTAATCCGTTAAGACAGACTCTTGGATATCACCTGTAAATATTTGAATTATGAGTAAGACAAAAATCTAGTTTAACAGACACACACACGCTCACACTCAGACACACATACAGTGCAATGCAAAATAAGTGAAGTCCTAAGATAATATTTAAAATAATTCTCTTTTTTTCCAGATAATCAACAAATTATATATTTGATAAGAAAAAGCTTTATTCATGAATTACAACCAGTTTCAAATATTTTATCTTTCTGTTATTGCTGTTACTAAAACTATTTTTACGTTGTATTCGTTACCAAATATCAGTAGTTCTTTATGATAGGTTTGTAACATAAGTAGATTTATTTTTGCTATATAGGAACAGAGTGTCGCTGCCGACACTTGAGTTTGAACATAGATTCGCCAGTGAGTAAACACATGCGATCCCATTATTGAATTAAGTAGACCACGTGACCATAGAGGAAACGTTTATATGAGAGGTTGTGTGTGTGTGTCTAATTGATCGCTATTTCTAGTCTATCCTCTATTACTATTCGGATCACCACTTCTGTTCTATCTTCTATTACTATACGAACCGCTATTCTCTACTCTATTCACTATACTATTTCTCAATTAAATCACTATACGGATTACTATTTGAGCGAGTATTATCGAGCAAGTACTATTAGCGCTAGTGATATTCGAAGGCGTCTGACACTAGCATTTTTCAATTTTTACTATAGTTGTATCTGCGATTAAAACGTCTACTACAACGAGCATTACAGAAGTGGCAACGAGTGTTCGTTGAGTCACAAAAATTCTTAATCCTAATCTTAAAATATATGTAACTCATCAACAGCAGTCGTAATCATAGTGTCATTGTCAAATCTATAATACTTTTCATGGCTGCATAGTATATTTTTTGCCAGAGATACACTTAGTTTGGAATTCAGAATAGTCATTTTCCTAGATTGGCTGTCAATCATAACTTTTTCTTCAAGACATGTTTGATCATGGTTCTCTAAAATCTTTATCGCCTTGTAGCTCTTGTCTGGGATAGAGAAAAAAAAGCATAACACGGTGAGATTGAGTAAATGGATGGCAGGACAGGAATTAGGAGAAATGACAGAAAGACAAATGTATATTAAGATCTACAAAGGCCAAGAAGTTATGGAGGTCCATGATCCCCTATGTACTGAGAGAACATGGCAAGTAAAAGAAAGCCCCTCCTTTCCGTTTTCTTGCTTCCCTGATAAGTAAAATTTTCAAAAATTTAAATGCAACGTCAATCGCCATGATTTATCTTCTTTAATCCCGTACAGCTTTTATCCTCTCCTCAGTCCCCTCTATACCCAGTCTTTTGTCTCCCCTTTACTCTCTGTAATCCCCTGTGTACAAGTTCTATTCAGACCTTGCTTGTAGTAAAATTATTAAAAAAGTTTATTTTAATTAAGCAGGAATTTTCAAAAAAAAAAAAAATGCTAATTAAAATGGTTATTTCATATTTAAATCCAGTCGTTTCGATAGGTACTGACTAAATGTTTTTTTTCAAATTTTGGTGTTCAGAGAGAATAAATGAAAGTAGGAAATGTTTTATGCAATAACATTGTTAAATCAAATAGCAGAGGTCTTAACATCTGTAATAGCAAATAACAGGTCTGAAGATTGCATTTAAACATGGAAAACACTGTCGTCACTCGGTGATGACCTAAGTGTTCTTTCTTATAAGAAATCGTAAACGAACGCGCGCGCGCACACACACACACAATAGCTGGCCACTCGTATTCGAGAATATCTGTCTATTACTGCGGCTAGACATTCCCTATTGCAGGCCTCCGTTCAGCCACACTTGTGTTTGTTCAATACACAGAGCCAACGTGTGGTTTATACTGCAACTATGCTGAGCACACTCAAACCCTCGGTCACGCTGACTTGTGACTTCATCTTCCGTCCACCCAATTTCACTCAAAAGGCTTGGGTCAACCCGCGGTATGGTTTTCAGGCACTTTTCAAAGGTGCAACACGCTGGGATCGTCCCCACCTCCAGACCGATAAAATCAGAAAGTCAACTTTCCTGACAAATCAACCGTGGTGAGATTCGAACCCGGGTCCATGGTCAGAACGTTCTAAACACACGGCGCGCGTGCCCATATATATATATATATATATATATATATATATATATATATATATATATATATATATATATATATATATACACACACACACACACACATATATATATTTTATATATATTCTATTCTTACATTCTCTGTTTATCAGTAATTGACTCGAAGAAAAAACAATGACATAATCAAGTTGTTGACATTCCACCTTACTTCAAACAAAAGCTTAGGAAGGAAACCCCCATCAGTACTGGAAAGTAGAACACTTTAAATTTAAGGATAAATTTCCAGCAGGTTTTTTGAACCATCTGAGGATCGCTTCATAGCGATAAACATGAAGTCACACTGAAAATATCTCTGACCTTTTTTTATTGGATAATGTATATATGTGTTCGGCACTCTGTTAAGTGACCCACAATGTCATTCCAATATTTATTTTGATGTGTGAGGGACGTAAAATAAGGTTTCTTTTTTTTTTTTCATTTAAATGCGGCAAGCGGAAGTGGTGTGTATTCGGGTTTTGAAATTGTTTAATAGCTGAAAATTTAAAAAAACGAAAAGAAACATAATGACTACAAAAATAAATAGTGATGTCAAAAGTTTGTAGTTTTAAAGAAAAAGCCATTTATCTATTCTTGGCACAAAATTTGTTGTTAAATTTATTTTTTTCAGCACCCCCCACCACCACACTTTCTATCGCCTCCAACTTGACATGGATTCCAACAATAACAATGCTAAAATTCTTTTTTAACAATCAAACCAATCATACGAATGAAATAATGTCGGCGCCACATTATTTCTTTCCTTTCAGCAAACAAAACCGTAGCCTGTCTCTAATGCCGTTTAGTCAGTAGATTTGACATTTTATGTGGGAAAAACAAGACGAACAGATCGGCTTACGAACTCTGGTGAAATGCAACCTACCTAAATCGAATGGACGTTACACCACTTGAAAATCTTGATACAAAGCAGACTAATATTCTCATCGTTGTTTGTATATTGTTATCGGTACAACAAAGGCGCGTTTTTTGTTTGGTTTTTCCGCTAATGCAATCATGGCGAGGAGATAGGGCGTAGTTTACCAGTGTTGACATAACATTCATGGAGCTGGTCAAATCTATAACTTCACTGAACTGTCGTCTTAAGGAACCCTTGTTTGCCCCTCCTCATCTGCCATCCAGACTTATTCTAGAATATATAGGCATTGTTGTTCTGACGACATTGTCCAAAAACAACGCTGAAAGCTTTATTGAGGAAATCTAAGGCGAGGGTTAATAGTCATGACTCGACACATCTTTAAACCTGGATTTAATCCTCTAGGTCAGGAAAGCTGAGTTTAAAGTAGCAACGTTTTCGTATTTTTCTCTCTCTCTTATATATATATATATATATATAAAAGTGAACATAGAAGTCAACACTTAGAAGCGACAGTCTGTTTCATGCTAGATGCAATCATCAGGCCACCTGACGATTGCATTTAGCATAAAACAGACTGTCGCCTCAAAGTGTTGACTTCTATGTTCACTTTTATTTTACACACGCTCTATCTCTGATATTGAGCACTTTATCCCATAAATATAGCACATCTTAAGACTATATTTCTTCATATATATATATATATATGTGTGTGTGTGTATGTGTGTGTGTGTGTGCTGGTCTGTATGCTGTATGCGTGAATATATATATATATATATATATATATATATATATATATATATATGGGAAATTGTATGACAAAGTAGAAAAAGATTACTTGTGACGCGTTTCGTTCTTCAGGACTTCATGTTGGTAGTACTGCACATGCTCATGACAGAGGGATGCTGGGAATTTTAGTTTTTTTTTTTATCGAGCTGGATTCATTTAGAGTCTTTTTTCCTTTTCGTTCCATCACTTTTCTAAGTAGTTATATATATATATATATATATATATATATATATATATATATATATATATATATATATATATATCGGACTCTTGTCCTCATCTTTTCTAACATATTTATCACAACATTTCGGCCGCTATTCTGAAAAGCCGACCCAGATCTTCAGAATTTTTAAATCACTCATCATGGCTCAAAAAGACACTCGACTCTCTTGTGGAAAGTTTCGATGAATGATTGAAAAATTACGAAACTCTGAGTTGGCCTTTGATATAATAATACTGATCGTTCTAGTCAAATATTGAGCGAAGCTTACAGACACATCACGTTGAAATACCGGTTCCCGTACGGTCACCAAAGTTAAGCAATATCAAGCCTGGTCAGTGCCTAGATGATTGTTTGGGGATACCAGGTTTTGTAAGCTTGGACGTGCAGTGTTATAATTGATAATGGTTCGAAATTGTTAATCAGGGCACAGAGTTCCAAATCCGGTTGGGTTCGTTACATTCACTTACTCGCAAATACCCCTGAGAAAGTTAAGAATCTAAGTTTTCACCCCCACCACACGATATTAATTAATATCACTAAATCATTATCTGAAAAAAAATCTTACAATCTAAAAGTTTTCTGATAAACCGGAGAAAACGAATCAACGACTCAATCTAATAATGAGCAAATTATTAGCAGAAATTCTGTTCAATTTTATATGAGGGAAATTATGTAATTTTACGTATATTAGTTGTTAGTATTAATAGCTAGCATCATTGATTTTTTATCTATATACAGTGGGTGCAAAAGTAAGTAGACAGAAATGAAAAATAAAATATATGGCGCGTTCGGCGGAGGAGGGGCGTATTCAACAAAAAGATCGAAAATTGCTTTTTTTTTTTCACAGCAAATTATTTATTATATCATATCTAATTATTTTACAAAAAATTAGAGCCGATTACACAATATCTGAAGCTCAATTTAGGTTTATAGTTCGTAACTATGCAATAAGATATCATAAACCGTACATTTGTCTGGGGAATATCATTACATTCTTGCTACATAATTATCAGTCAGTTAAGTGCCATGCTTAGGCGATCATGTATTTGCGATACATGACTGACGAGGCAGATTTTTTCACACAGAAGGTTTCCATTTCTTACTGTGATAGACCAGTTGGCATCCAAGGCTATAGAACCCAGTCTGTCCTACTATTTACCAATAGCTGGGGCGGGCGGGGGAGGAGACGAATTATATATATATATATATATATATATATATATATATATATATATATATATACAATAGGATTGCAGACGGAATAAATTCCAATAACCAACAATTACTATTCTTAAAAAGAGTGCTCAATACAGAGTAGATTGAATATAATTATTTATTCGAAAATTATAACATATGTATGTTATGAAATCACTACAAAAATAGCCATTTTGTTTCAACACTTCTGGTGTCTTATCAAGTGATTATGTTGAATGTAGAAGACACCAGAGGTGTTGAAACGAAATGGCTATTTTTAGTGATTTACAAACATATTTATGTTATAATTTCTAATAAATAAATAATTATATATATATATATATATATATATATATATATATAAATGCCAAAATATAACTATGAAACTAATGCTTAATTTTTTTCCATTATCGATAAACAGATTATTGAGCCAAATAGTTTTTGGCAGTTAGTATTATAAATAATCCATGAAGCTATCTTACAGACTTAGGATTTGTACTTACCCGATCTTTTGAAAACATGGCAAATTCGTCGTACAGGTCTGACTGAGTGCGGGTCTGACTTTGTCATCGCAAGGTTTGTCGCCACTATTACGACAAATGACCACTCTTTGCTGTACTCCAAATCCACAGGTAACGCTGCACTGTCGGAACGAAACACCAGATAGAAATAAATAAAGAGCTCATTGCGTATGAAATTCCAAACAAATAGAGTAACTGAAAATGCAAACACTATTTTCGACAATTCATCTTGAAAATACCTTAAGATCAATTCACTGAGGGTATGAGTTCGATTCTTGCCATGTTCTCAGTTCATGTGGCATCATGCCCAAATGATTTAGACTTAGTGAATAAGAAACATGCAAACGGATGCATAATAAAACATGCTGTTGACTTTATAAGTAGCCTCAATGGATTCGTGTTAGGGCGTTGGTCATGAGGCAAAATAAACGACAGTATAGATTTCTTGGGCTATTCGTCTCATTTTAGTTTAATAGTAACATAATGCAAGGATATAGTTTTACACTGCGTGTACGGTTAATAAAGAAAGAATGAAACACATGACGTCACACATTTGTCCATTTCATAATATGTGACGTCATTTGTTTACATTTGGATACGCCATGAGCAGATATGAATGTACGTGAGAGAATCATGGAAGATTGTAGTTTAAAGACAGTAAAATCGATCTTGCTAACCGAACGCTCCTCTGTGGCCAAATCGGTTAAAGGCACGTCAGGCCATATGCCGGTTCCATATAGGATACAAGTTCGATTCCTGTCAGAGGACGAATATTTTCTATGAAAATTTCTCGGTAAATGTTGTTTAATACTGTTTATTATAAACAGAGTATTTACTTAAATATTTGTATCTATAAAAAGAATGTATGATTTATTTGCTTAATGGAGGCAACATCTATATGCGCATTTAGGATGAAAGCCTGATGTAGACAAAGGATTGCTATTTGGTTGGTTTTGTTTAGCGGCATATCAACACCTGTATGGGTTATTTAATACCGAAATCTAAATATTTTGTACGCAATTTTTCAATATTGTTTTATTTTTTTAGATAATAATAGTTTTAGTGATACACGTCTTACTGGAGGAGATGGAGTCAATGCATACCTTTCCTAAGGGTATTTGCGCGTAAGTGAATATAACGAAACCAACTGGAATTGGAACTCGGCTCTCCGATTAACAATTCTGAGCCATTACCCATTACACCACCTGCAAATCTAGCTTACAACAGTTGGTATACCTAAGTACTGAGCAGGCTGGACGTTGCTTAACTTCGGTGGTCGTACGGGAACCTGTGTTTCAACGTGATATGGCTGTAAGCCTACGGCCATTCGTATGAAATGTCCCCGATTTTGAAGTCTGGAATTAATAGACCGGTTGTTAAAAATCGAAATTTACTGTAAAGCTGATTTAATCGATAAAGAAAAATGTTTCGTAACTACAGATCATATGCACAAGTTAAAACAAGAGCATTTACACATAGAAATTATATAAACTAACCGAATAACCATCCCGTGAACAAAGAAAATTTGTTATGGAACTTCTCTTATCGCGAACATTTCTGTATAAACAACATATTCCACAAGACATCTATTTTTCTATGTACATTTTGGTATTTTTATTAAGTTTAAAGTTTACGCTAGACGTTGTTAAATATACAATCCAAGATATTCCCAAAATATTTATTACCATAATTTGTGGCGGCACGGATCCTGTCTCAGTAACACAACGATAAACAGCAGCAAAAGGTTGGATGACTCGGTTGCATTCGATCTGGAAATGCAATCTGGTACAGCCGTGCTGCCTCGGATCCATTACCATTCACGCGGCCATATGTAAAAATCATATATGCCTGCTCAAGATATGAATATCCTGCCATTGTTAAAAGGAACTCTTCTCAATTAAATCACTACTAAACACTTTAAACGTTGAAGACAGACTAGCCCCAAATGTACACGAATGACAAATGTAACCTAGTCTGCATGGCAACACAGCGCCATATACAGTAAAAAACTCACTCTAAACATAATAACTTTTTGTCCTTGCTTTTGTAAAAGTATTTTTTGATACAACCTATATATATATATATATATATATATATATATATATATATATATATATATATATGTGTGTGTGTGTGTGTGTGTGTGTGTGTGTGTGTGTGTGTGTGTGTGTGTGTAACAGCAAAATTGTCCACTTTAAGCTTTGAACCGTTGCATCTTAGAAATGATTAAACATATCTTACTGGAATTCTCCGAGGTTTTTATAGCACTATTACTCTACTTTGAAAAATAAGAATGTATTTAGTTCTAAGTCGAAATTATGATCCCTCTTGCTGTTGTTACCTCCTGATCCAGTTTTCCTCTCTATTCTTCCCTCTTTTTTTAAACTTATTCACCGTTCTCTTGATGGTTCTTGAATGGACTTTGAAGATGGAAGCCAGAGTATGAATGTTGCTACCATTATTGAAGGCCTGAATGATCATTTTCCTCGCACCATTGCTCATTTGGGAAGACATAGTGGGGCTGAGACAAAATGATTTTAAACTGTTCTCTTTCTAGCTGAATGACTCAAAGGGTTTTTTCAGTGATTCTTACTACAAATGGTGTCAAGATGTCTAAATGTCTTAGCTGAAAACCTGAAACAGAGAAACTCATATATATATATATATATATATATATATATATATATATATTTGTGTGAAATTTTTCGGAACATGACTTTCTCAAACGCACTGTCGGAAAATTACTTGGTTGGTGATGTTTAACGTTTAACACGACTATCTTTGTTTACTCTAGGATCTTTCACTACTCACAACTGGGACACAATCCCCCACTGTTATATGAAGTTGTTTTGTAATCAAGTTAATTTGAGGAACCCTACAAATACAGCTCTTTAGTCCAGCGAGGCAGATGCTTAATTATATGAAGCAATATATAAACAATTGAGACGTGTGTATATTTTATTAAATTTCAATGTTTTCGAAACAATTACGAAGGAAGTTTTAATATGTTGTAATTAAAGCTATCACCAGGCAGAAGTACTCAGTTGTTGTTGTGGTGCTGTTGTTGTGGTGTTGTTATTATTATTATTAGTAGTAGTAGTATTGTTGTTGTTGTTGTAGAATAATAACAATAATAATAATGATTAACAACAAGGGGAAATGAAATACTATTGAAATATACTGATATATGGAAATAATAGTGTAAGATATTGAAATAGTAATGGAACATTTTTTCACCGAAGCATTGTGGGATACATAGAAACTATAGAAAAAGTGAATTGAAATGTAATTTCTAAAATGATACAGTTAAAGTAAAAAAAAAACAACAAAAAATTAGCCTTAGGACTCTTAACACAATCTACGTTTAGCTTCGCTAATTGTTCCCTGACGAAATTGAAAATGAACATGACATCTTTATTGCTACTGCTTCAGAATAAATGATCCTTATGTAAAATTGTTTTGCCAAAGAGGTTACACACAAACTGTCTTCTGCGACAGCCATTATGGCATGTCAGTGATAAAACCTTCTGTGAAAATATCTGCAGTCAAAAGAAATCACACGATAATTAGTGTGATATTTGAACAAAATATCTTACCAGCATTTGTTCATCGACACTTCATGTGCCTTGAATCCCATAAAGAGCTTGTAGGGACTTACCGGTGACCACTCTCCAGCGTACCATCGCGGACAGATCTCCGTATTACACGACTTGTATTCAGACGGTTTGTACTGTTTACAGTATCGATCGTTCACCCAACGAGCTTGCCCCATCGATCCGTACTCCATGCATCGCACCTCGCGCAAAGAAGCACCGCCTCCGCATGTCCGAGTACATGGCTGCCATTCTTTAGCTTCCCATCTACAAAAAGAAAAGAAGAAACAGAAAAAAAAGAAGGAAATATAATAGTAAGAAAAGATCAAGATAAAACATATTTATCAATTTAATCCGCCATCTTTGGGACCTGACCAGGGAAAATTAAATTTCCGAAAACAAATCAAATTCATTATCCTTTTTAATTAAATCACTCCAAGCAAGGCGATAACGCCACTAAGATGCAAGCGGCTACTGCAAGCGGCTACTGCAAGTGGAAAAGAATAAAGAAAACTTTGAATGTAACCGGAAACCAAATAATAGTATAAATTTCAGGGTTTAGGCGGAGACGTTAGCAGTGCAATTTTAAATCCTAAACACGAAACAGAGGATAAAACTCTATCTGTTCAAAAGCCAGAGGAGGGCTGTTAACCAATCGATAGCCGAATCATTTTGTTCATACTATATTTTATTCCATTATCTAATTTTATCGATTTTTTCTAAAATCGTGGTAAAAAAGAAAGGAAGATATATCTTAATAAAATTTATAAAGAATTAGGCGAACATGGCTGCTCGGAAACTGTTTTCTTTAATATCTGTGAATTAACATAACTTCTTGGAATGGTATTTGGGTGCTTTGTAGTTGAAGAGCGAAGAAAACAGAAACAGCTGTTATATATGAGTAGCTACCTACCCCCTGAACAATGGCAGCATCATGACTACATGCTAGTGTATATCCAATCCATCCAGGCACGATGCAAGTTTCATAAAGCTCTTTATCTTTACCGCCTGTCGCAACACACACACACACACACACACACACACACACACACACACACACACACACACACACACACACACACACACATATATATATATATATATATATATATATATATATATATATATATATATATCCAAGTATAGATTGGTGTATACGGAATAAATTCAATAACCAAAAAAAAATACTATTCTTAAATGAGTGCTCAATACAGAATAGAGCAAATATAATCATTTATTCGAAAATTATAACATAAAAATGTTATAAAAGTTTCATTACTATGGTACTACCATAGTAATGAAACTCGATCTATTAGCCCCACCTGTAGGAGTAAAGACAATTGTCCAATCGGAAGAAAATGTATGTATGATAATGTAGTATACGAGACAACAATCTTCCCCGAAGAAAATATCATCCAAAAAAAAAAAAGATATAGGTATATCCGCTGGTGATTGGAAGCAGCGTCTATACAACCATAGACGCTCTTTTAAATAACGATACCTTAAAAATCAAACTTCCTTATCCAAACACTACTGGGATCTGGTGGATAAGGGACTAACCCCGAATTTCGAATGGAGATTCTTATCAAGAGCTAGAACCCCTAATAACTTCCGCGATCGGTGTGATCTATGCATTGCGGAAAAAATTTTTATTATTAAAGATAAAAATCAAGATGAGTTGCTGAATCTTCGTAGTGAGATCATTTCCAAATGTAGACATAAAAAACGATGTAAAACATAAACACAGTTTTATAACGTGTTGTTACCTGTAACAATTCCATCTTGGATCACTAACATCGGACATGACATTTAAATGGTATGACTCTTATGATTATCTATATGTATCGTTGTGTATGTTTATTTGATGCTCTATATATTTTTTGATCATTTAATTTGGGTTAGCAAACTTTGTTCATGTGTTGATATATGTGTATGTGGGTATGTAGGTAAAAGTTTTCCTAAATAACTGATATACAAAATCTGACAGTAATCCAGTTAAAAATATCACACACACACACACGTACATATATGTAAATACAAGAGAGACTTGCGTTTGGACAAACGATCTAACTAAATTGTTTTGCATCGAAACGATGTTGACATAACTCTGTTTTAACTAATGCCACCCTAATTAAAAAAAAAATCTCCATGGAGAAAATATTTTGAACGCTTGATAATAACATTATTACCAACTATAAACCCACGCCTAAAACATTATATTATGTCGCCATCTTTCTTTGAATCCATTTTTAAAGAATATAACTTATATCAATCTAATACAAAGAATGTCTGCTTAAAGGGGTCAGTCATAATTTAGGACCATGTGACACCCGCTACGCGGTTAGACTGCACAAAGGTTAAGGCATCAGAACTTCCACTAGACAGATAAACATACACTATTACGAATGCACATTACCATTCGATGCCCACTTAAACATACAAGAATATTCACAAACTTACATACACATAAAATTATCTACGTGTCTGACCAATGAGAACTGACCAAAACATAATTGAAAATATCGGCGTTTTTGTCTTTTGTCTGTTTTCTCTCAATCTCTGATGAAGCTCTAATAAAAGTGAAACATGTTAGATATACGTTCCCTATTTGTTCCTTATTTTACCATTCATATTTGATCTGCATTTGACCTTTAACCTTCCCTCTCGCTTTCTCTCTCTCTTTTTTTTCTCTCTCTCTCACTATATATATATATATATTGTAATGACAAAGTGTAAAATTATTTTCTGTAACACGTTTCAGCTTTAGGACTTCATTAAAGTAATGTTTTTGTTGATGCAATTATATATGCGTATGAAGTGGAGGGGGGAATATAACAAGGCAAATATTGGTTATAATTACTTATCTATAGGAATCACTGAAACTGTTGGAACGTTGTAAATTTTAAAATTTTTCTTTTCATATTCACCGTCAAATTTAAGGCTCTTAAAATATTTCAGAATTGAGAAGGGAACCTAACGAATTAAAATATCTTATTCTACGTACCAACCCTCTGAAAATTACAATTAAACAGAATTTATCTAAGCTTAACATAATATTTCTAACAACTACATTTAAAATAATTAATATAAAACATAATAATAATAATAAGCTAATACTTGAAAGAAGAATTTTCTCTATCTCCTGTAATAATTGCCACAAGGAATACATAGAGCAAATCTACAGGTTTGTTTTTTTTTGTTTTACGGTATATCAACCTCAATGGGTTATTTAATGCCGACAAGATTTTTATTGCTGGTAATATGCTTTTTTTCAAATGTATTGCTGGTGAATTTTTTTCTTTCAAAAATCTATTTCTGGTAATATTTTTTCTTAAAAAGATGTATCGCTTGTAATTTTTCTTTTTTCTAAAAATGTATAGCTGGTAATATCTTTCTTCAAAAATGCATTGCTGCAATAATTTTTCTTCAAAAACTTATTGCTGATAACAACCTTCTTTACAAAGTACTTCTGGCACCAAAACCCATTTCTACCCCCCACCCCACCCCAGTGATCCGACTTCAGTTCGGGGGCCAACCACCCGCCCACAGCTGGGACCCAAACAGGTGCCACCAGGGTGGACCCGGGAACACCAGCAACCAAGAGGCGGTTCCACGCTCCTCAAAATCTTCCGACCAAAGGCCTCGCTGCTGGACGTAGTTTATCGTCATACCCAGGACGCGGATGTAGTTTATCGTCATGCCCAGGACGGAAATCTGCAGAAATTTAAATAAAAGATTATATGAACCCTTAAGGGATATCTTACAAACCAACTCTGAAAGCATTAGTTGCCCATCGGATTGAGTTTGACCATAATTTAGATTTTAAAAAATGCTGCTTTAATTAAAAAAAAATATTATGACCAAAGTGTATAGAAAGTGCTTTAATCGCTAGATTATCCACAGTAAATTTGCGCCCCGGTTCTTACAACATTTCACTAATCTTGAAAGATCTTCTATTATCACAATTTGGGGATATTTAATAACAAGAGTGATAGAACTAAAAACAATAGCACGAAGAAACTAGATAAAGTTGCCTAGACTACATGCCCACACCCACAAATAATGATTTAAAATTTCAACGTTCCAACAATATGCATAGTTATAAGCAACGTTTGCGTTTTTTTATCCCCAATTCCATTCATTCACATATATAAATAAGTCAATAAAAACACGAATTTAGTCCCATGAAGTCCTAAAGAACGAAACGTGTCCAATAATTTTTTTTGTAATTCGTCATTAATTTTCATGACATTCGTGATATATAAAAATGTATATACCATATTCTCCCATAGATCAGTCAATTATGTGCCATGCGTGATACACGCTTAGGCGATTATGTATCTTTCGATACATGACTGACGAGGCAGATTATTTCCTGCAGTAGATTGCCATTTCTTTCTGCAGTAGACCAGTTGTCATCCTAAGCTATAGAGCCCGGTCTGTCTTACTTACACATAGCTGGAGGAAAAGAAGAGGATTCGTACCTTTCCTATATATATATATATATATATATATATATATATATATATATATATATACCGGGTGTAACAGCAAAATTGTCCAAATCGTTTAACATTCCGCAAAATGTTTAATATCTAAAAAAAAAAACACTAAACCAATTGAGTTACTTTTTTCCCAGGTTTTCAGATAAGAAGTTTAGTCATCTTGACACCATTTATCATAAGAAACATTAAAAAACCGTTTGAGTTATTCAACTAGAAAAAGAACGGGTTAAAATCATTTTGTGTTAGCCCCACTGTCTCCCCAAATGAGCAATGGTGCGAGGAAAATGATCATTCAAGCCTTCAATAATGGTAGCAACATTCATACTCTGGCTTCCATCTTCAAAGTCCATTCAAGAACCATCAAGAGAACGGTGAATAAGTTTAAAAAAAGAGGGAAGAATAGAGAGGAAAACTGGATCAGGAGGTAACAACAGCAAGAGGGATCATAATTTCGACTTAGAACTAAATACATTCTTATTTTTCAAAGTAGAGTAATAGTGCTATAAAAACCTCGGAGAATTCCAGTAAGATGTGTTTAATCATTTCTAAGATGCAACGGTTCAAAGCTTAAAGTGGACAATTTTGCTGTTACACCCGGTACACACACACACACACACACACACACACACACACACATATATATATATATAGGTTGTATCAAAAAAAGAGAGGACAGTAGAGAGGAAAACTGGATCAGGAAGTCACAACAGGAAGAGGGATCATCGTTTCAACTTAGAGCTAAAGAAAGAAAGATCAAACTCAGTTAATAAGACGTTTGGCACGTGAGATAGGATTTTCATCTATGTCAGTCCAAAGAGCAGTGAAAAAAGACTTGGAAATGAAATCGCACGTCAAACCTGTGAGGTAACTTGTTACTCCAGGACAGAAAGTTAGAGAGGGTGAAGATCATCTTGAATAAGATGGAAACTGATCCTGGAATATATATATATATATATATATATATATATATATATATATATATATGTGTGTGTGTGTGTGTGTGTGTGTGTGTGTGTGTGTTGTGGAGTGATTTCACAGCGGAGGCTTGTATTTGTCCTAAGTCAGTCCTAAAATAGGTTCGACGTACAAAACGTTAGGAATTTGATATAATAGGAATTACGCAGAGTAATCTAGTTGTGGTCGCTGATACTTTAGTATTCGACTAACTGTCGTCCGACATCGACTGACTGACTCACTTACTCGTTACTCTTACTACTCCTACTTATTATAGGTGAGAGAGTCTATTAACTATGTAATAGGGGTGTTTCACCATAACAGTGTGTGTGTGTGTGTGTGTATGTGTGTGTGTGTGTGTGTGTGTGTGTGTGTGTGTGTTGAACTTAATTTTAAACCTTCATGATCTTCCGATCCTTAGCTATGATTAATGTCATTTTCGTTTATGATCGATTTCATCACGATTGTTCTGTTAAGCTTGGGGAGTAATTATATATTCTTATTGCTCAAAGTAGAATCCAGTAGTGTTATAAAAAACCTCGGATAATTCCAGTAAGATATCTTTAATCATTTCTAAGTTACAAAGGCTGTAAGCTTAATCTAACAAATGGACAAGTTTGCTTTTATATGATTTGGACAATTTGGCTATTACACTCGGTATATATATATATATATATATATATATATATATATATATATATATATGTGTGTGTGTGTGTGTGTGTGTGTGTGTGTGTGTGCGTGTGCGCGTGTGTAAAAACTTTTAGATAGAGTATATCTGTAAAAAGACAATATGTATGAACACCCATATACTAAAAGATTCTGAAAAAAAATATTATTTTCGTTCTTATAAATACTTGGCACAAAATTAAAAATCTTTACATTTGCTTTGATAAAGTCCCTCAGAGGACGAAACGCATCGGCTAAGATAAGTTTTACTTATGTCTTTTTTTCATATATATATATATATTTCTTCCTTGAAACACCAAAGTGCCCTATGTAAGCATTATTGGAAGATTAAAGATAGTGGTTTAACCCCACTAATCAAATGGGAAATCATTCGTCGGTCTCAAAAACCCAAGAACTTCCGGAATAGATGCAATCTGTGTATACAAGAAAAAAAAATTAAAATTCCCTAAAATCGTTTTTTTTTGTGGGGAGCGGGAAGGGATGTACACTTGAAGTGTTGATTCGTTTATATGAATGCTCGCACATATGGGTGTACATATATTCATGGGTATGTATGTATATATGTATGTGTGGATTTGTGTTTATATTATATATATATATATATATATATATATATATATATATATATATATATATATATATATATATATATGAGTGTTCTTCCTTTTTACACAAATGGACTCACCCAGGATATACATATACTACTGCTAGTGAATACCGGGGGGGGGCAGAAGAACGAGAAAGACGGACGAACGAGCGACGAACCAGAACGAACGTAGCGAGCAAGAGTCACAGTGAGCATGCGCGTAGACTCAGTAGGAAGTCATACAATGATACGTCGATACCAAAGACTATATATATATTTTGCTACTAACCCGCATTCATGGAACTACTAACCCGCATTACCAGTTTGTATTATTACATTAATATATTTATTTTCCTATATTCCTTCTTAGCGTTCGTTATTTATTGGTACCGGATTTCATCCCGGGATCCACAACAATATATATATATATATATATATATATATATATATATATATATGTGTGTGTGTGTGTGTGTGTGTGTGTGTTAAAATTCCAGACGATGGGACAAAAAGGAAAGAAGGGATTAAGAGTTTACCTTTCCCAAGTTTATTAGTGCTCCGTGTGCCCAAAAAGTCGCTGCCAAAATTCGAATTCGATTTATCGATTCAGTTAAACTGTCACGCGCCTTCATATATATCTCTATATATGGATGGATGTGTATGTGGGGATGGGCTCAGCCGAGTTCGAATTCCAGTCGAATCCATTACATTCACTTATGTGCTAATACCCTTGTACTACTACTGTACTGTACTGATGCGGCATTCACCCTGGGCGGATTGAGCCGGCTTCTTCCTGTTATGAGAAGAAGATTCTTGGGATAAATTACAGAAGTAGGGTACCCAGGCCTACTCGGATAACGTTCTTGCTTGCCGCGGGGTTCCCACAGACGCAGAGACAGGAACGACCAGAAACCGCCGGTTACCGATGCAGAGGCTCCTTGATTTTCACCAGAGCCCTTGTTAGCCGGCGTGTGTGTCAGACCTGTCCGCCTTGGGTGGCCCTACCAGGAACGAAGTTCCGGGTGGCATAACTCTGACACTACCGTTTAACCCCCCCTGACTGTGAGGTAAGGGTTGGACTTTTGGGGGCTTACAGTACCAGGTGTTCCCAAGCGGTCCCCCATCTAAGTACTGACCTGGCTCTACGATGCTTAACTTCGGTGATCGAACGAGAACCGGTGTTTCAGCGTGATTTGACCTTGGGAAAGATATGAATCTTCTTCTCCCTCCAGCTATGGGTAAATAGTAGGACAGACTGGGTTCTATAGCCTTGGATGGCAACTGGTCTAGGAGAAGGACAACTCTGAATTCAAAACCTGCAGAGGGTCGTTTGGGGACCTTGTGGCACGTAGTGCACCAGGTCTCTGTATTCGGCCCTTCAAAAAGTGTGGATGGTCCTGCACGAAAACTTCACCACTATAATCAATTCTCATAAGCTATACATGCGGGTTTGGGGACTGCTTGTGAATTCCAAATTCCCATGAAACTCCAATATTGGAGCCGGCTCAACCCACCCCGGGTGAATGCCGTTACAGGTACAGGTATATATATATATATGTGTGTGTGTGTGTACGAAAAGGTGTACATTCCGTGTATGCGGTTTTTCTCTGTGTGTATATGTCCGAACGATGTAATTATAGAGTTTGGGCAGAGGTGGCGTTGTAGAAAGGGAAGTGTTTTGGGGGACCAACCTAATTTGCCCGGGTCCTTATGCTGGAACCGTGGGATCAGAGATAGAAGCTCGAGGCCACACATTCATTTCATTCCTAATGCACTGAAAACGGCCATTATTTGGGAATGTTAAAATAAACACGCAGGGCACAGGTTACTTTCTAAGACAAAGAAGATCCCGTCAGGTTTGTAAGCAGCAAACAAGGTGATAAATAGATCGAAAGGCGAAGGTGGTTGGGTGAGGGAAGAAAGAAGAAGATGTTAAAAAAAAAGGCGACGAAAGTCAAAGAGAAAAGACTATGAATGTTGAAAAGGAAAAATTACCGCAAAGAAAGAAAGAAAGAAAGAAAGAAAGAAATAAGGAAGGAAGGAAGACTATGAGAGTCAAATAGGGAAAAAAAGTTTGAAGGAAGAAAGAAAGGTGGAAACTATGATAGAGAAATCGGGAGAAAAAATTTAAGAAAAAATAGAAAACGATGATAGATAAGCAAGAAAAAGTTCAGAGAAAGAAACGGGGAACCAAATACGGAGGAAAATGAAAAAAATGTTTTAAAGAAAGAAAGAAAGAAAGAAAAGGAAAAAATAAAGGAAGGAAGAAAGAAAAGGATGAAAAGAACGACGTAGTGGAAGAAGAAGAAGAAGAAGAAGAAGAAGAAGAAGAAAGGAACTAATTAGTGTAAGATCAAAAATAAAGAAAAGAGGAAGATAAGAACGACGTAGAGTAAGAAGAAAAAGAAAGAGAAGGGGCAGAAAAGAACGAACGTAGAGCAAGAAGAAAAACACAGATTAGGTTGAAATGAACGACATAGCGTAAGAACGAAAAACTGATAAGCGAAAAAGACGTCGGAAAAGAATGAGCAGTAAAAAAACTGGACTTGAGAAACATTTTCCTGAAAATTTGTTTGAAGAGAAAGGTTTTATAAATTTCAGCCAACAGTAGTACGAACTTCTCGCTCAATGAATACCAAATGTTTCCTTATAAGGAAACAGCTAATAATGTCATTGCCATTAGCATTACTAACTCCCGGTATGCCATTAAATCACCCTCAATTTTAACTCTCTCTCTTGCGCATCTCATGAGGTTGTATTTGGTAAACATTAGTAAAAATGCGTCCTGGGTATGACGATAATCTACATCCGCGTGCTGGGTAAGACAATAAACTATGTCCAGCAGCAAGGCCTATGATCAAGAGGTTTTGAGGAGCGTGGAACCACCTCTTAATTGCTGATGTTCTCAGGTCCACCTTGACCCAGGGTGGCAGCACCTGTTAGGGTGCCAGCTATGGGCAAATAGTTGACCCCACAACCTGACTCGAAATACTATGAAAGTGTAAAAATATATTTTAATACTAGAAATGCTTTAAAAAAAATAGTATCAGCAATAAATATTTGAAAAAAGAAAATATTACCAGAAATAAAAATCTTGTTAGCATTAAATAACTCATTGGAGTTAATATGCCACAAAACAAACCAAACTATACATTTAAAAAATATTACCAGCTATACATTTTTTTTCTGTCGGTATTAAATAACCCATTGTGGTTGTTATGCAGTAAAACAAAACAAAACAAAGCAGTAGTAAAAATATTTAGGAAAGTTAACGCCCATTAATTATCCTACAGACCTTGTGTTTGATCCGGTGTGTTTTAATCCGCTCAGCCACAGAGAACTTTTTTTTTTACTCACATTTGTGTACCGTTACTTAAATTCGTTCCGCTTTAATTTTCAATGTCAAATGGATTTTTACGACAAGAGGGAACCTAGTGAGAATATCACAGCGAAAGTTGAATAATTCTATGGAACTAGAAAAAAGAACAACAACTTTTCAATGAGGAAGTGTGTAAATAATTCGACTTGAACCAGATTCTTACCCCGACATTTAATTGCTGTTCATGCATTCTTTCTAAGGAGAAAATGTTTTCATTGGCGTGACCTTTGATTCTTACTTATCTAAAACCTGTAAGATATGTGGACTGATTTCGATGTTTAAAATCGAGTTAACAAGATTACATCGTTATTGTTATGCTTTTTTCAATCATTTCACCTCAACGAAGGCGATAATAGCAATTAAAATGCAAGAGTTACTTTGAGTAAAAGATTGTTTTGATTTGCTTTTTAGACGGCTTGTTAATTATTTCTGGGTTATTTAGAGCCGAAAGCTCTTTCGAATTATAGTAAGTAGCTTACAGTATCCGGTGCTCCCAAGCGGTTCCCACCTAAGAATTGACCGGGCTCGACGCTTCTTAACTTCGATGGAGAGAAAAATAAATCGAAAAGACAAATAACAACAGGATTCAAGTGACGGAAGTTGACGATTGACATTGCATTTAAGCTTTTGAAGATTGAAGTTAACGAAAAAACAGAAAGTTAGAATAAAGTTTCAGAGGCGAGGAGTGCTGTCGAAGAAACTATTAGCATAGAACTTACGGTTACAACAAGCAATTTCAACAGTGAAATCATGCAACTAAACTGCCAATCTAGCAATGAGTTTAAATTCGTGCAGTCAATATACCAAAGAGAAAAAGATCATCAGACAAACCACTGTAAAACTCTTCATAAAAAAGCACAGAGAAGCTATGTTACGACGATGGGAAAGTAACTGAAGCCGATATACCAGGTCAGGACCGATAACGTTGCAGATTCGTTGGATTTTGTCTAGAACATCTAGAGATACATAGCAGAAGTAACAGCCTAGATGTGGTGGCAATATTTGATACTCGGAGGAATAGTAGACTTGTAAATGTGCCAGACAGATTCTGGCGAGAAAAATTGTCGAGCACGACATATAGAACCGACTTCTCCAGTAGCAGACTTGGCAATTCAATATAATCTTTCCGCTTCATGCCAGTGAAAAACGAGAGACCGAGAAAGCGCAATGAGTTACTCTCATGGAGGTCAGTATCAACCATGCTAAAGGATGACGGAAACAGTTATTTAAGATGGTTAAAAGTGGAGTAATTGTGGGAGAGTGGTTTGTTCAATAACCGTTTTATTGTCTTGGCAGAGGATGTGTGACGTATGTGAAATAAGCATGCCAAGTTCAAATTCTGTTACGCTTGAGTCCACGTACCACTAATGTCCTTGAGAAAAAAAACATGATTCTATTTGGCACTATTTAAATACACTGGTTCACTCGAAATAAATAGGGAAAAGTATTTTCTGGGGATATTTTTGGATGTTAGTATCCATTCATCAACCAACGAATTTTCTCAGAATCGAAGAATATTGATTTTAACTGGGGTCCTGTTCATAATATCCATAAAATGTAAAATCGATCCTTGATTTTTTACAATCATTAGATTTAGTTGTTATTAACTAATGTGAAATTGTGCTTACATCAGTAATAATTGATTTAATTTAGCCTTAGCGGACAGCCACCTACTGAATATTTACCCACATTTATACCTTATGGATAAATCAGTGTTTTAATATATTCCGTAATTGCTGAAATTATTGAAATATTTTAACATATATATATATATATATATATGAGATAACAATATATATCTTAATATATCAAGAACAAAAAAAAAAAAAAAATTTTTAAATTAAAATTACCAGCATCCTTCGTTCGTATAGTCGCACTAACAAATTTAGTCCGATGAAGTCCTAAAGGACGAAACGTACCACACGAAAAGCTTTCCACTTTATCATACATTTCCCTATCTATCTATCTATGTATCTATCTATCTATCTATCTATCTATCTATCTATCTATATATATATATATATATATATATATATATATGTATGTACAAGTGTGTGTGTGTGTATTTATTACATTTGTTAGCTGAATTGTGATAGATGCTACGAAAGACATCTTTTTTGGGTTCTGCACAGAGACCGAAATAGATAGATAGATAGATAGATAGATAGATAGATAGATATAAATAGACAGAGAAAAATAGTGAGAGGAACATAAACTTCAGACAAACAGACAGACATTTAGAGTGACAGAAAACAAAAAATATGAGGAAGAATGAAGAAATTATTTCTTCATTTGTTTTTTTTTTTTTACGCTTACATACCGAGGAGGACATGCTTTCATGTAACAAGGCTTGGTGTCTGGAGGTTCCACTTTTGGTACATTGACACACAGTTCTTGTGCCACGACCATATCTCGTCTGATGTCCCGACACAGACTTCTTGATTGGTAGACACCTAAAAAATAAATAAAAATAAAAACTAAAAATCTTGGATCGTCTTGTAAAATCCCTTGCGAATGAATAGAAGCAGCCTGAATCATAATTATAATCATTGTCGGAAATTTCGAATTATTGTAGATGTAGTATTGTATATGTTGTATTGGATATGTTGAACTGTATATGTTGTATTGGATATGTTGTATATATGTATTAAAAATGTTTAAATTTTTCTTTCTGTCTAAATGTTTGAAAGTTACATCAGCAACCTCACTTAACATAACACTTACTTGATGCAATTGACGAGACATCTCGTCGTAGCACCTGTTGTTAGCCTCTGCTTGATCGAAATCGAAATTTTTCATCTTTAGTTTGGTGATGTGATGTTTGCACAACTTTGAGATATTTCCTAGTTGCTGAAATTATTAAAATAACTTCAAACACAAAGACATATATATTTATTACTGTAAACATTATTATAGTTTACACGCCGTATTTGTAAGCGACATCACATTTTTATTTATTAAACAGTATGTATTACATCTATCGGTCTGAGCACTTGAGAAATCTTAGTAAAGAAAACGTCTTCGACAGAAATCGAATCTGCGTCCGACTTTCTAGGGGAAAACCGCTGTTTGACCCAGTACGCTTTACCACTCGGCCAGGAAGAATATCACAGCAAGCAAGGCTCTATTTTCCCTTTTTAAGGAAATCACATACTCCTCATTCTGACTGTTTTTCTCGAAAGTTCATGTCCCCTCAGTTTCACATCCAAAACGTAAACAAAGCATTTTGTAAAAGATTAATGCATTTATTTTTAATCAGAAATTTCTATTATTTCAAACGTTTTGTATATATTGGCAGCATGTTTTCATTGAGACATGTTTCGTTGAATAATTTAGACATGTTTTGTCTACTATTTTTAACTGGATCCTTTCATATTCATGGATAAGTTTCTTGTCGTCGTTAAAGGAAGGACGAGAGAAAATCGCTGTATTGATACATATTTCTTTTATTTTGAGTACTTTCGACATAGCACAATGTCATCATTAGGGTATTGTTTATTGCAAGACAAATATTGTAGTGTTCATTATTGCCGAAGACAAAATTGTTGCGTTCATTTGAAAGTTAAATTTCTTACATGTGATCGCTGACACCGTTTAAGGGGAGATAACTAAGTATGGTTGTGGAGAGTTATTTTTACAAAATAAATAGTAAAAATCTATTAGTGCAAACCTTGGCATTTCAAACTATCTATTGTACACATCTTAAAAACATTTGTGGAGTATTCGTAATTAATTTTATTAAGGTTTGCTTTCAATTTCAGCGTCCTTCCTTCCACGAGTAAGAAATTTAACTTTCAGATGAACACAACAATTTTGCTGATACTCCGTGAAGAGTGAACAGACAAGTCCACCTACAAAACTTTGGAATCGGGATGCTGAAGGTAACATCAATCAGCTAAGTGACAAACTTCTACTCACATTATATATATATATATATATATATATATATATATATATATATATATATATATTATATATATATATATATATATATATATATATATATATATGAATATATATATATATATATATATATATATATATATAGTAATTCATCGAGTCTAGAAGAAGTTGGTATGACGTTTGCCTGATAACGTAACTGTCCGGGTTTCAATTCTCAGTAGTGGATGCACACTGCTGATGAATCCCAAATATGGGATGAAACGGCCGTCCAGTGCTTTCTGCATTTTGTTGAAGTTTCTTCTAGACTCGATGAATTACTTAATTATGATTCTCTCAAATCCTCCTAATTTTTAATATATATATAGTGTTCTTATTACAATAAAAACATTTTACATCGTTACACAAAAACTTTCATGCTTCAGTACTAAGATTGTACTTCTTCAGGCGATGGTAGATATCTTGTGATAAAAATAATTTATTGGGGAAATTTAAAAACAAATCTTCACCTCTTTTTGTAAGTTAAAGTGGGGTCAGAATTAAAAATATACTTGTGGTATGTCTAGATTAACCAATTAAATGTGAGGTCTACGCTAAAATATAAAAATAAGGTCAGAAGGGGGAGGTAGGTGGGTTATTTTTACATGTCAAGATAACTGATGCCTAGACATGTCATTCAACAACACTAGGGTACATTGTAGCGACAATGTTCCCTAGTATCGTTGAATAACAAATTACAATTGTTATCGGAAAAGCCCAGAACATTTATCTTCTTGAACCGACACTCGATGCCACCGTAGTGCGTTCCATTAAAAATGTGTTCTACCTAAAGTATATTCACTAAAAGCCTGATAAGGTATTTCGAGGATCGGGGTAACAAATTTTCTGAGAGTCAAACATTTTGTCAGTCAACGTAAGGATCACAGAACCGTTACAAATCACCGTTACAAAACCTCGCGTAATAATTGAACATGATTAGTTTAGCTTCGAGAGCAATGTAGTAATAGTATATGAGTAACGAATTTCAAGGGCCCAACTTAATTTAATTTATTAATTTATTGTTATTTCATTAAATTAATAATTAATGCTACTACGATTTACAAAGCTAAGGTTCATGCTACTCGCATTTTATGGTTCTGCCCAAGAATTCCGTTGCCACAATTCTTATTTAATAATCAAGAACAAATGACACAATTTGATTAAAGACTTTCGTTGGATTGAACCAACGTTAATATACGTCTATATGTATGAAATGTAAGAACTAGACAGGAATCAAACTGAATAGACACATAATTCTATAGAATTGCCGAATAACGTATAGCTTCAACCTTCGCCGAAATAGAATAGAGGCTACGAGTTGTTTTCATCCAGGCACATTCCAGGATCTTCATAACAGAGGATTTAATGAAGTTTGTAATGTATTCCATGTAACACATTAAAATATAATTAATATCTTTTAAATGTGGCAAAAAACGAGTTCTTCTACAGTACATAGAATCAGCCATGTGTTCCTGGATACAGTTTTAAGTCAAAAGTGCAAAATACAGGTAAAAAAAGGTCGACTTATCCTATCGCTCTAGGAAGCACCTGACTCCTTTTTTTTTTTATCTCATCTTTATTTTTGCAAGAGCCCGATTAAACCAAGTTTATTACTGTCATATCTGGGCTGGAGCTACTCAATCTACCCTCTGTAGCCATGATTGACTTCAAAACCCTTTATGTGGTCATGTGGGTGAAGGCTTATTCTCATTCTGTAGCATATTTCGCACAAACACGGCTTCGCAAGCCTATTGCTATTTCTATGAAAAATGTCCAGATGAGCGCTCCATTCTTTACTTCCACCAGTTCAGAGCTTTACAACTAGTACAAAATATGCTATTTACAAAATGTCGAATCACCCTCATTACCTACATATTCCAATTGTAAGTGGAATAGCCATTAATATTATCCGTGCGAGGAGGCAAGGTGGATTAATGGATAGCAGTCCGGATTGAGGAATCGGAGAGCCGAGTTCGAATTCCAGTCGAATTCATTACATTCACTTACGATAGGAAAGGTATAAATCCTCTTCTTCTCTCCCTAGATATGGGTAAATAGCAGGACAGACCGGGTTCTCTAGAACTTGTCTATCGCAGAAAGAAATGGCAACTTACTGCTGGAAAAAACTTCCTCGTCAGTTATGTATCGAAACGTACATGATCGCCGAAGCGTGTATGACGCATGGGGAAAAAATTCCACATAGACAATTTTCCCCTCAAGAAAACTACTACTTTGTGGAACAGACTCCCGCATGGATGCTTCCTTGAACGCTACAATCTTAACCTCCTCAAGTCAAGCGTCAATCGTTAATTCTCATAATCTCCACCTCTTTCTATCAGATCTTGTATTCATATCACACCTCATTCATCATTACCATATTATCAATAATCCTCTTGAGAACTTGGAGAGGTGAATTGACAGGAGATAACTGATAACGGACATCCATTAAACATGGCACGGGGAACTAGAACAGTTTACCCTAGCGAGAGAAATAAAAGGTTCAGTTCAACATTCCAACCACTTGAAGAAGGCCAAACGTTGTGATAAACATGGCAACAAAGATGAGGACAATAGTCCGAATAATGTAAATAGTGTACGTAATACCTCATTTCAGAAATATAGACAGATAATGGGGAACATTGCATCAAATCGCATCCAAATGAAACACTAATACCACTCAACCCTTCAGTCAATTCACTTTAGAGCGTACACTACATTTCATAAGAGGCTTCATAATCGTCGACCAACAAGGCTACCGTTATTGACACCAGGGCATAAGTTATTACATCTCGTCTGGGCCAGTGAAGATCGATATTGGACTGTTGAAGACTGGCGCTGTCACCTGCGCAAGATAAGTCATATTTGCAGCTCTTTTGGGTAGACGGTCGAGTTCATGTGTGGAAAAGTGCACATGAAGCTATAGATTCATTCAGTTAGTATAGTGGTGCAGAAGTTAAGGATATTCCCCGTAATGGCGTGATGTGTGTTAGCAAAAAATCACTAAGTGAAACTGAAGTCTGTCTTAATAATTATGGCATACGGAGACGTAAACTGACAGGCCCAATCTAAATAATAATTGTTACATAGGTATCTCGCGTTTTTCGAAAATTCGCTTCACGCACTTACACTTTTATGAAAGTTCTACGTTTGTACAGGTTTTCTCCGCTTTTTGAAATAACGTAAAGTGAAGAATCTATTAATATTAATTTATATATATGGGGAAGCGTTCGAGCGTTCTTAAATCCTAGATATAACTTTCGTCTATTTTGTGATGTCAACGAACATTCGTTGCCACTTTCGTAATGCCCGTTGCAATAGAGAGTTTGTAATCGCGGATACAACTATAGTACGCCGTGAAGTGCACAGACTATATTGAATCAATAGCTAGGTCTGCTCCTAAGAAAGTTGGTTTACTGTGTTGTACTAGACAATTTTTCTCTCCTGGATCTATCTTACAGATCAACATTTTG